CCTCAAAGTTCTTTTTACCAAAGTAAGCATCTGTAGTCATTTCAGAGTCCACTACCACTTCACTGAATAGTATTGGAGGTTTAAATTATTTAAATCTTATCTGTTTTGAGGCCGTTAAGTTGGGATAAATTAACTGTATTTCATTAAAGTACACACTACTCAAAATGTTATGACAGCAGATATTAGAACCAAGATGTCGTGGACTCTGGCTTAATTTCGGTCTTCTTTCGCAGCATATACTTTATCTGACCTGGGTATCTAAACTAACAACTTATATCAAAGTGGCATAGAAGATCTTTTCCATTCTGCGTCTTGTGCCACTGTTACTAGCTTGTATTCTCAGAATGAAAAATGTTATTTGCTACGTTTCCATGGCGGTGCTTTCTATTGATTGGGAATGTAACAAGTCAAAATTCTGATATTGGCGAAAGGCATGGCAAAGATAGCAAATAAGCTAGTGGGGGAATTAGTGTTAAAACTATTTAGGAGATCATGAATAAGTCGTAAAAACAATGTAAAGCCATGCTCAAATCTTTGTGCTTGGCAGAATAAGCTCAAAACAACAAGAAAGCTTTAGATCAGCTTTATTAAACGCTCTCTAATAGTGCTTATAATACAATAATTCAAGTGCCTTTCGTGCCAAGTGACCAAGAATAAATTTCCAATCTGAACTTACTTTTTCACCTCTGAGACCGATCTGTCCATCCAAGCCCTGGTCACCCTGAGTACCTTTCTGTCCTGGAGCCCCGTCTGGACCCTGTGCCCCATGTCGTCCATCGATCCCAGGGTAACCAGGGGGACCGGAACTGCCCGGTAGACCCGAAGGACATATTGCACAGTCTCCTTTATAGCCCTGAAGACCAGAATCTCCATCTAACCCCCTAAGGCCAGGCAGCCCGGCCCTCCCCTTGACGCCCTGTGGACCTATAGCGCCTTTAATGCTAGGTCCATAGTCACCAGCATCCCCCGTTGGCCCAGGTTGACCTACAGGACCGCGGTCGCCTGAAAACAAGCATGCATTAGATGAGACACATCAATATAATTAGAAGTTGGCAGATCTTCAAAGACTAACTCCGACTTAAACAGCCGTCGTGTGCAAGGCTCCTCTTTGCTATCGAGTTGACCACGTTTATGAAAACTACTAATTTATTAAAATTTTTGTATCTAGAAGATCTCTTTACACATTTTCCTCCAAAAATCTTATACTTTAATTTGTATCAGGTTAATTAAGAAGGAAGTATCCTTGGATAGGATAGGATTCAAGGCTAACTATTATTGCTAAGGGCTATTCGACTACAGACTATAACTCGGGCATTAACAAATGTTTATCAGATCTGTGAAAACCAATTTAATTCAAGTTATGCTGGCTGAGCTAACTTGTTTGTAAATGAAAGAGTCTCTTTGTTATGTAAGATCTTCGTCTATAGGTTTGGCTGTAATTTCAAGCTCGTCTAAATATCCGTCAAATCCCTGGCAGAATTCGGACTTTGTGCATATAAGTTAGGAAAGCTACACAGGCCTATACACTTAAATGGCAGGCATGGTTTTGAAAAAAAAGAAAGCCTATCTGAACTCATAGCTTTGTTGGAGACTTTTTACTGAAAGTAATCCGTTTAGTAGATATTAGGTCCAATTCGATACTGGAGTATACTGAATTCTCCCTTGTTCGCTGCTAGTGGGTATCACACTTACTGCATGCGTTTACTTGGCTATCAAACATGAACAAGTTTTATTACTAAAAATGTAATAGTAATTAATCATTTATCAACCTGTTCTAAGTTCAAAGATTCTAAATCATATTTAAGGCGCTAGAGATATATAATTTAATATTGAATAATTTAAATCACTCAATAGTTTAATGCTAAAAGAGTTCAATATCTAAAATCATGAAGTTATTGTTATGCAAATAATTGCTTTAAGAATAATTACTCATACCTTTATTCACTATAATACAAACATATACATGCACAGGAATCAGGTATTCATGATTGTTTGTAAATGTAATGCGAAGTTTTGATTTTGATTCATATGCCTAGACTACATGATAATAGTTGGATTCATAAATATCGTATTAGATTTTATTTA